TTTTTTTCGTTCATTTTCTTTTTTTTTTTGAAAAATATGTGAAATTACTGAAATGCCCTTAAAAATCAGATTTTTTCAGTTAATACCACTTTTATATCCGTTTTAGGAGGCACTTTGACAAACCCGTATAGTTCATATGGTGGTTTATAAAAAATAATAGTTTATATTGTGATGCGGCAAAACCGTGATAGTTCAGATGGGAAAAAGTTTTTTAACCTTATATTATTCTTCTTCTTCTTGGCTTCTTCACTCTTACAACTTGCAAATGACTTACATAGGGTATTTATAGGTATAAGAATACATTTACAAACTCCCCTAATTACTATGATGCATTTCACCTACATTTTACTTTCATGCATCTTATAACTTACATCCATGAATTTTATAAATTCCTAGAACATGACCACCTAGATACATTAACAAATATTAATTTAGTTTAATAATTCAACACCCCCTCTTAAACTAAAAACTCATCACTCCAAGAGAAAATTGTATGTTTTTGAACACATCGAGCATCAACGGCTTCGTTAGGGTATCCGCAACCTGGTCTTTCGACTTCACGTACTCCAGCTTCACTTCTTTCTTGGAGATACAATCTCGAATAAAATGGTACTCCGTATCGATATGCTTGCTCCTCTCGTGAAACACCGAATTCTTCGCCAATTGTATTGCCGACTTATTATCAACACAAATTTCAGTTGGACCTTCTTGAGGAAAATTGAGTTCTTTCAACAAACTCCTCAACCAAATAGCGTGACAAACACAGGAAGTATAAACTACATACTCCGCTTCACAAGTAGAAAGAGTCACAATCGGTTGCTTTTTGGAATTCCACGTGAATGCAGAATTTCCCATAAAGAAAACAAATCCAGTAGTACTCTTCCGGCTATCAACGTCACCGACCATCAATGTCACCGGCCCAATCTCTATCGCAATAGCCAACAAGCTTATAATCTTGTGAATTTGTATAGAAAATTCCGTAATCAACTGTACCTTTAATATAGCGAAGAATTCTTTTCGCCACATTCAAATGTGATGAAGTAGGAGCCTCCATGCAACGACTTATGAGTCCAACTCCAAATAGAATGTCTGGCCTCGTACAAGTCAAGTACCTCAAACTTCCCACAAGATCTTTGAAGTATGTGGAATTATTTTCTCACATTCCTCATGCAAAGATAATTTCACTCCACATTCCACGGGAGTACTCACGGGCTTGCAATGCTCCATCTCAAATTTTTTGAGGATTTCTTTTGCATAAAATTCTTGCGAAATAAATATCCCATTGTCTTTTTGTTTCACTTCAATGCCAAGGTAATAGGACATCAACCCAATATCAGTCATCTCAAACTCTTTCGCCATAGCTCTCTTGAAGTCATCGAGCATCCTTGAATTATTGCCCGTGAAAATCAAATCATCCACTTACAATCACACAAGCAACATGTCGTCATTTTTGTTCCTCTTGACGTAAAGAGCATGTTCATGTGGACATTTTTCAAAACTATTTAGCCGAAAATATTGATCAATTCGACTATTCCATGCACGCGGAGCTTGCTTCAAGCTGTAAAGAGCCTTCTTCAATTTTAACTTAGCCTCTCACGACATAGCCCGGTGGTTGATCGATATAGACTTCCTCCTCCACAACTCCATTTAAGAAAGCAGATTTTACGTCGAGTAGGTGGATTTTCCACTTGTTTTGAGAAGCAATAAAATGATCAACCAAATCGTCTCTAGACGGGCAAAGGGTGCAAAAACTTCATCATAATCAATTCCAGCATTTTGCTTGTACTCTTTCATGACTATACTTTTCAACCTCGCCTTTTGCATTTCTTTTAATTTTATACACCTACTTAACATCAACTGTGCTTTTTTCCTTCAGGCAGCGGCGCTAGCTCCCTCGTATCATTCTTCTCAATTGATTTTATTTCTTCACTCATGGCCTTCCTCCATTTTTCGTCTAGTGCCGCGTCATCAAATCCTACGGGTTCAGCTTCCGCGAACAAACAAAATTGAGTAAATGCATTCAAATTTGTTACCTCCTCTGTAGCTTTATATAGCTCTCGTAGGTCTATAAATATTCATGGACCACTCAAGCTCGCGGCATCACTTTGTATGTTTTGTGGCGGTGGTGTTGATGGTGGTGTCGGCTGCACCGTGCCTTCTTCATCTTCATCAAATAATGGACTATATTGATCATTTTTATTTTGTCCACTCCAGTCCCAAACGCCTTCTTCATCAAACTCACATCTTGGCTTATCACAAGCTTTCAGTTGTTTGTATTATACAACTTGTAGCCTTTTGAATAATTATCATAGTCGATGAATAAGTTTTTTGCACTCTTATCATCGATCTCTGTGCGCTTTTCATTCGGGAAATGCATGTAAGCAATGCTTCCAAAAACTCGCAAGTGTGAAATTGATGGTTTATAGCCACTCCAAGATTCTTGTGGTGTCATTTCATGGACACTCTTCGTATAGCACCGATTCATCAAGTAGACGGCACACAAAACAGATTTAGCCCAGTACTCCTTCGGCATATTCTTGCTTTTCATCATACTTCTTGCCATGTTGAGAATCGTCCTATTTTTTTGTTCACCAAATCTATTTTGTTGAGGTGAGTATGGGGTCATCATAAGACGATGAATTCCATTTTTCTCACAAAATTCTTTTAATTCGTTCGAAGTGTCTTCACCACCTCGATCGGACCGAAACACCTTGATCCGATAACCACTTTGATTTTTCACCATCATCTTGAACATTTTGAAGGTAAAAAACACCTCAGATTTTTACTTCAAGAAATACACCCACGTCTTCCGAGAATAATCATCAATGAATAGCAAAAAGTAAATATTTTTGCCAAGATAATTTGGTTTGATTGGCCCACACACGTCCGAGTGAATTAACTCCAATGGATATTGCGCCCTTGTCGTCGACTCCTTTGGAAAACTCTTTCTTGCTTGTTTTCCTTAAATACACCCTTCACAAAGTTGGTTCGGATGATTTATTGAAGGCAACCCTTCACCATTCTCATTTTGCACATCATTTGGAGGCCATCAAAATTCAAATGTCCAAGCGTCAAATGCCAAATCCAAGATGAATCATTGAAACAAGACTTCAAGCACACTGAGACATCACTTTGAATGTTCAACAAAAACATTCGATTCTTCGTCATCAGGACTTTAACAAGCAATCTTCCATCTTCATCTCTCATCGTCAAACTTCTATCTTTTAAATGAATGTCATAATTTTTCTCCAAAAGTTGTCCCAAACTCAAAATATTGCTTTTCATCTCCAACACATAAAAGACATTGGAGATAAATTGATGACTCCCGTCTTTCAAGCGAATCAAAATAGTACCTTTCCCTTTTACTTATACTTTTGAAGAATCTCCAAAATTTATGTCGCCACCAACGAACTCATCAAGTTTCGAGAATAAATTTCGTCTCCCGCATATATGACTACTTGCTCCCGAGTCAAGATACCATCGGCTATCCTTGTCTTCTGAATTTGTTTTGCATGTGAGAAGCAAAGTGGGACCCAGGTCTTCGTTGTTGTTACTCTCCATGAGATTACTTTTCTCCTCTACGTCACTTTGACACTCCCAGGCGTAATGGCCATAGCGATGACAATTAAAACACTTGATGTTTGATTTGTCATGCCTTTGATTTTGCCTATATCCTCCACCTCTTGGGCCTCGACCTCGTCCATGTCCACGACCTCGACCTCTTCCTGGTTTTTCGTCGAGTCATAATTATGGATATTATTTGCATAATCATGTTGTCCTTGTCTTTCTCTTCCGCGTACTCGTCCTCGTCCGCCGCCATGACCGCGAGCACCTCCACGGCCTCGTCCTAAGTTAGTCTCTTTCTCTTTGATTGATAGCTTTGCTTTCAAAGCTTGCTCCACCGATGCTTGTATTAGCGTCTTCAATCTCTCTTTATGAGCTTGTAATAAACCCGCAAGTTCATCTACGGTCATGGTGTCTAGGTCCTTCGACTCTTCAATGGCAACGACGATGTAGTTGAATTTTAGATCCAACGATCTAAGAATTTTTCCCACAAGTTCACATCTTTTACATACCTCTTCATTTGATTGGTAATGGCCAAGACTCTTGAGATATAATCCGAAATGGATTTGGACTCCTT